TTCCTCTACTGTTGCCAAATAACCTCTCTGTATATCTTCCCCATCACCTTCCCCACCCTTGATATAGCACCAAGATTGCTTCAGGAGGTGAAGTCTAAGTTTCTCCATAGGGCCTCAGGGTCTCCTCTGATAGGACATCATTCGCCACGTCTCCACCTTCTCTTTTGCCATCCACTAACTCTAGACCAAGAGATCTATCTTTTTAGTAGTTGCAGGGTCCATTTCTGTATCTTCACAGAATTGGGATACTATTTTAGTTAAAAGCAGGGTGTCCAGGAGCCTGGAAGTTCCACTAATGTAACACTCTCCATAAAATGCAATGAACACCACCTATTCATATAAAATCACTGGGAATTTTCTCATGGAAATCAAGATAAGGTGGGTGCAAAAAGCCACACACCATCCCTTCGTGTGGGCTTTTGAAAATGAGCAGAAGAATAAAATGAAAAAGCAATTGCTCACAATCTGCAGTTCATTACATACACTTATAGAGAGGTAATTCTCTCCCACCTTGTGATCATTGCTGTATGACAGCTGTCAGCTTTCTGACTTATTTTAGGATGATATACAATATTGTGATAACACATCAGAGCGACATGCATTTAATTTATCAACTTTACACACTAGATAAGAAGTTCAAGTAGTAACAACTCCAAGTTTTAACAACCTTTGAAAGGGCAATCAACACAGTGTTTATTTGCATCATCGTTAACAGCAGTGTAGGATGCCGTGTTACTGTGAGGGTCATCATACTTGGCCCTAGGTACGTTAAGTGGTAGACGCTCCTCTGAGAGTCTACAGTCCCCTTGGACACTCAGGACATATGTGGAAAAGGTAAACAAAAGGTGAATTATTAGGGAGGGTGACTTTGATGTCAGACTAGACTTGGGTCCAAATCCCATCACTGTCACTTACAACTTTGACTAGGTAAGTTGTTTAAGCTCATTGATGCTCAGTTTCCTCATCTGTGAAAGAGAACAGCACCTACTTTACAGAGTTGTAGGTGTTCAGGGGTAATGGAAGTAAATGTTAGTGGTGAACTCTCAGTAAATGACAGTCGGTATTTATGTTACTGCTGTTCTTGCTGTGAAGAGTTACACAGGCCAGGGGCACCTGGATGGCTCAGTCAGTTAGGTGTCTGACTCTTGACTTTGGCTCAGGTCATGATCTCATGGTTCATGAGTTTGAGCCCTGCACTAGGCTCTGGGCTGACAGTGAAGAGCCTGTTTATGATTCTCTCTGTCCCTCTCTGCCTCTCTCCTGCTTGCACACACACACTCTCTCAAAATAAATAAATAAACTTAAATTTAAAAATAATAATAATAGGGGCACCTGGGTGGCTCAGCTGGTTAAGCATCTGACTTTGGCTCAGGTCATGATCTCATGGTTTGCAGGTTCGAGGCCCGCATCAGGCTCTGTGCTGACAGCTCAGAGCCTGGAGCCTGCTTTGGATTCTGTGTTTCCCTCTTTCTGTCCCTCTCTGCTCGTGCTGTCTCTCTCTCCCAAAAAATGAATAAATGTTAAAAAATTAAAAAAAAAATAATGAAGAGTAACACAGGCAAGCAACAACACCCAATGTGAAAATGGAGACTGATATCCAAAGGCTAAGGGTCAGAGGTTGGCTTCATGAAGGAAATGAATATGAGCAAGTTTGGAAGGTCAAAGTAGGACTTAGAAATCAGAGAGAAGACAGGTGTTACAGAGGGAGAGAACAGATTAAGCTAAGGCATTCCTAGTGAGCACCAGAGAACCATGTTCGTGCTGACGGCGTGAGGGTGCCCTGACAACCGCTGGAGAGGTAGTACCGCCATCCAGTTGCTATCCCTCAGCAGCCCCACTCCAAGTTTTTGATATTAACAAGTGAGGCTTTCTCAATATTATCTAAAGTGCTATATAAATGCTGCATAAAGAGAAGTCCCTTGGTCTCTCCTTCCAATCAGATTGCTGCCCAGAAGTCTCTCCTAGGTAGAAATTCATGAGCTATCACTTCACGCACACCTCCAAACCCGGACATGTAGCTGCTAAGGAATTATTGTTAATGTTGGACATCTAAATAATATGTGGTTATGTTAGAAATAATTCTTTCAAAAATGCATACTAAAAGATGTATAAATGGAATCAAATGATGACTTGCATTTCATATGGGGTCGGGATGGGGGTGGAGATAAGATGAAATAAGATTGGCGATCAGTTGGTAACTATTGAAGGTAAGTGATGAGTACATGGTAGTTAATTATATAATCCCATTTACTTTTTTACATGTTTCAGTTTTTCCATAAAAAAGGAAGGAAAGCAAAGCCAAAACCAAAAATTACTGGCAATCTATATATAAACCTACCATGTTAACTTTAATTACATATCATATGTTTAGGGACATATATTCATCTTCATTTCTGTACATTCACATACATTGAATGGGCTTGATTTCTTCTACAAAGTCAGAAAGGTGTCAGTATTATCCATTATCCCTCAGGGGTGTTCCAGAAAATTGATGTCTGGAAATGGAAGGTGAAAAAATGTTTCTTTGTTCTTCTCTTATTCTGTCTGAAAAATTAGATATTATGCCTTTCTAGCTAACCTGAGAATGCCATGCCCACCAACAGACCAGTGGAGGGATGAAGTCAGTCTAATGGAAGAAGTTTCCTAAACACTCAAAAGAAGATTAAGTTCAGAGAACTAGTTTGGTTCATTCCATATTTATAACTCAGCTTGACCTTAGAATTCCTGAAATAAAGAGATGGCCAATGGCTGATTGCTAAATATTGAAACCCGTCACCAAAAGTTCCACACACTTGAAAATCAATAGCTGCTTATAATTTCTTCACACTAAAACACATTTAATCATGATTCCATCCTTGCATGGGCTATGCATACACAGATTTAAGGTATTTTGTAATATATTTTCTCTTCTTTAAAAGTTGACTTGAAAAGTTAGTAACAATATCATATGGTAATTTGAAAGAACTGATACCAACTTAAAAATTATATCCTCCTGCAGAGAAGTGGAAAGAATTGGAACTGAGCCAGGAAACCAGAGTTCAAGTTCTGGATCTATTATATACTAGCTGTGTGATCTGTGGTTATTTAATTCTCATCAATATCAACCTCACCTCCAACCTTAAAGTAATAATAGTAAACATACTATGCACTTAGTATGTGACAAAAACTATTCTAGAATTTATGTACAAACCAAATAAAACCTCAAAACGACCCTATGAGGTAGGCATTCTTTTTATTAATATATCCATTTTATAAATTAGGAAAAAGTCCTGGAGAAGTTAGTAACTTGCTTGAGGCAACTTGACTAGGAAGTGATGGAGAAGGCTGCCTTTAAACTGAGGTCTCAACCATTATGCAACCTACGCCTTCACAATACTCCCTAAAAGTAAAATTAAGCAATATATGGTTAGTATAATATATATTTTATACTCTTAAAAAAATTTTTTTAATATTTATTTTTGAGAGAAAGACAGAGCATGAGCAGGGGAGGGGCAGAGAGAGAGAGGGAGACGCAGAATCCAAAGCAGGCTCCAGGCTTCAAGCTGTCAAAGCCTGATGCAGGGCTCAAACTCATGAGCCGTGAGATCATGACCTGAGCCAAAGTTGGACACTTAACCATCTAAGCCACGCAACTGCCTCTAATATATATTTTATACTCTTACCTACTAAATAAAGTTAGTAAAAGTCTTTTACGTGCTATAAAAGCACAAGACAAATATTAGAGTATTATTTTCTTCCTGGGAAAGAAAATAAATATTCTTAGGTATTATAGATTTAGCCATGCATTGGGAGGAATGGTACCAGAATCTTAATGGTGGTGAATAAAAGGAAAGCTATGTCAATAGCTCTTGAACTTCATTGTGCATTGATTCACTGTGATATTTGTTTAAAATCAGATAACTTAAGGGGCGCCTGGGTGGCTTAGTCGGTTAAGAGTCCGACTTTCGCTTAGGTCATGATCTCGCGGTTTGTGGGTTCAGGCCCCGCGTCGGGCTCTGTGTTGACTGCCAGCTCAGAGCCTGGAGCCTCTTTCGGAGGCTGTGACTCCCTCTCTCTCTGACCCTCCCCTGCTCACGCTGTCTCTCTCTCTCTCTCTCTCTCTCCTAGAAATAAATAAAAAAAAACATTAAAAAAAAATCAGATACCCTAAGCTCCACTCCTCCTAACTTCCTTACATGTGGGGTAGAAGCCAATAATAGATGTTTTTATAAGAAGCTCTGCAAAAGATTTTGATGCAAGTAGCTTACGGACATTATTGGTAAGTATTGACTGATGTTTAAAGCTCTGTAAGTGTATGGGCTGAATTGTGTCCCTCCAAAATTCAAGTGTTGAAGCCCCAACCCCGCCAGTACTTCAGAATGTGACTGTATTTGAATATAAGGCCTTTATCGAGGTAATTAAGTTAAAACGAGGTTGTTAGGGTGGGGGTGAATCCAATACAACTGGTGTCCTTAGAGAACATGGACACAGAACGAACATGTGAGGACACAGCAAAAAGGTGGGCACCTGCAAGCCTTAGAGAGTCCTCAGAAACAAAGCTGCTGACACTTGGGGCTGGGACTCTTAGCTTCCAGAATTGTGAGAAAATAGACTTCTGTTATTTAAGGCATTTGGTCTGGTATTTTGTCATAGAGTCCCTAGTAACCTAATACAGTAAGCAACATTTTGAAGTGAAAATAAATAGCTGATATGGTGGTTTGGTAGTTAAATCTCCTGAAGCATTTTTTATTATTAAACACTCACATTAAAAGAGCTAATATTGGGGCGCCTGTGTGGCTCAGTTGGTTAAGTGGCCGACTTTGGCTCAGGTCATGATCTTGCGGGTTGGTGAGTTCGAGCCCCACGTGGAGCTCTGTGCTGACAGCTGAGTCTGGAGCCTGCTTCAGGTTCTGTGTCTCCCTCTGTCTCTGCCCTTCCCCTGCTCATGCTCTGTCTCTCAAAAATAAATAAACATAAAAAAAAATTAAAAGAGCTAATTTTTTTTTTACTCTTTGTTCTAGGCTGATTACTGAGTAGCTGAAACTAACAAGAAGGCATGTGCTAGTAAGATATTCTTCCTATAAGTAAAGTTCTACTACCAGACTACTTCCCTGGGCTCTACAACTTTCCTATAACCCAATATGTCATATTATTTAGTATATATACATTCTCCCACTGAAATATTCATTCATATCTATCTATCTATCTATCTATCTATCTATCTATCTATCTATGGATCCACTCATTCAACTATCCATTCGTTCATCCGTCTATCCATCCATTTAATCAATATTTATTGAATACAATATGCTGGTTGCCATTTTAGATATTGAAAAACTACTTCTTATTTCTGGGAAGATAAAAGCCCCAAACAATTCTAAATGAAAACTCGAAAGTTTCATTTAAACAAACTCAAGTGCCCTTCGGATGCATTTAAGTACAGAAAGAAATGAGGTGGTCCAGGGGGATTCCAGTAAATTGGTATCCAAAAGGAAAGAAACTACAACTTGGCTTGGAGGGTTCTAAGAAGACTGGTTCAACTTTGTCAAATCTTCCAGTATTTTAAGGGAAGCCATAAATCTGGTATTTTTGTGAATTTGCCATTTTTAGTGCTGGTGAAATAATCTGGATTTTTCAAAAACATTACATGAGCCAAATGAAACAAATTCATTATTTAGACACTTAGACACCCCTAGCAGCTACTAGTTTGCAGCTCTCTGCTGAGGCTCCGAGGACACAGTGTTACAAAAGTGTTGGAGTTCTTCCATATCTGTTGCCTTCATTATTTGATTTCCAGTGAATTCACAACTAAACAATTTGGCTTTCAACTTCTTATGGCTGTTGCACCAACCATTTAATGACTAAAGAAACCCAAGAACTGCCTAATGTCTTTGCTATGATTATGAAAGTGTGGCATCCACGAGGCAGGGCAAGGTCTTCATCAGGAAAAGAAGTGATGAAACTCTGTTCCCACCTTCATCATGACCTTCTCCCACGTCTGCACAAAACTTCAAGGGCTGGGACCACGTTTTGTCCATCACCCTTATAAGTGCACCAGTCACTATGTGGCATAATTCCCTGCAGGATCCACACTTGATAAATGTTGCTGAATCCACGGAGTTTCTTCAACTCTGACTTAAAATCTGCAGTGAAAACTGATTGTTGCTGACATAGTTCCCATTTAGTTAAAACTTTTTTATCTTTAAGGTCCTGTCTACATGACAATAAATTAGCTATTTTAGGCACCTTCTCGAGAAAAACCATCAGACAAATCACACTTGGAAGGATACAGAGATCATCTAAGCAACTGTTGTATCTCTAGTCAAATCATGTCTTGCTCTCATTCTATTTTATACTAGACTGACGAGACAGGCAAAATGGAATAAGGAAAGACCAACACATTTTGAGTAACTTTTTTTGACTGAAGTTCTATTGCCTTCACATTATACTACTAGTTGGTCCTACTTTACTAATGGTAAAATACAATTTGTAGAGTTCATCTCTATAGTCTAGCAATTTAGAGAGCTACTAGTACTTTCTCTCAACTAAATGAAAAATCCACATGTACCCTTAAAATACAGAAAGCACCAATGACAAAAAACAAATAACAAGCAACTAAAAAAAAATCCTTCCTGAAATATTTTGAAAATATCTGAAGTGAAAAATGTTAATGTAAGTAAAGTGATTTTTAAAGTGTGGAATCCTAAGCCTTCTACCATCATACAAATAAGTATGGGGGCAAATATTACATAAACATCACCTGCAAATTTCATTCTTCACATTTATCATGGAGCTCATAAAATTTGTAGTGAGAGTATATTTGTGATACTGTAAAAAGTAACTCCTTAAGAAAAATGATGAAAGCCTGAATGCCAATGAAGTTTTTTTTTTTTAACTCAACACAGTCAATAAAATGGAAATATTTCTTACATTTCGCAAATGTATTTGGACTTGGAGCACCTACATGCATAATTACACTTGGAGCGCATTCTAACTCTTAACACCCACAGTGAGTCTTTTTCCTTTTTTTTTTTTTAAATTTTTTTTTAATGTTTTATTTATTTCTAGGAGAGAGAGAGACAGGGTGAGCAGGGGAGGGTCAGAGAGAGAGGGAGTCACAGACTGAAACAGACTCCAGGCTCTGAGCTGGCAGTCAGCACAGAGCCCGACGCGGGGCTCGAACCCACGAACCGCGAGATCATGACCTAAGTGAAAGTCGGTCGCTTAACCGACTAAGCCACCCAGGCGCCCCATCTTTTTCCTTTTTTAAAAAAATCGTTCTGCCCCACTCAACAGACTCCTTAGCAAATGCAGTGTACACATCTGGAAGCTCTGTCATAAATGTCACAGTGTTCGCAGTCTGAATGTTCACAAAACCATCCTCACAAACTGAGCAACCAACTGGGTTTCTATGACTAAAAACCCAGTCCATTAACGTCTGTAAAATGATCTAATTATGTGGTTGATTTCAGTCTTTCTTTGATTCCAGATAAAAACATAACCAAATTTTCCATTTATGTTCCTGCGAATCTCGGAAATTATCTAGACATTTCATCTGAAGCAAGCCAAGTGATATAACTGGGTATTCTTAATTTTTCTGCGAAAAAATAAGAGAGTTGATATTTGACTGACTTATTACACGAATCCACCTACATTTCCTGACCCGGCTGTAGCCGCCCTGAGAACTGAAAGTTCTCACACGTTTTGAAAGAACTGTAGCTTAGGAAGTAACCTTTGTTCAGGTTGAACGTGAACTAATAGTAAGGATAACACATTTCTAAAATTTGACTTTCAGAAGTTTCCTGTAAAATTTGACCTTCCTGGATAAAAGTTTAAAGTTTCACTATTGCCACAAGCGAAGGTACTGTTAAAAGAAAGACTGACGACAACCAGATTTTTAGAGAATTTAGAGCACGTTTACCGGGTAGCTGAGAGGAATAAGGAGGTACGTGCGGGACAGCCCCCTACCCAAGTGATTGGCACTTGGTAAGAACTTGGACCTGAACAACCAAGTCTGACACTCTTATTTTACAGACAAGAAAACTAAGGCAGGAGAGATGAATTCTCCTTACCATGTACTCTTTGCGGGGGTCACCAAAACTATAAGGAAAAGAAGTGACTTGAAGTTCAGAGTGGCCGAAGGACCTTCTCTGATACTATGCTGTTTCAGTTATTCAAGTTATACAAATTAATTTCCATGCCCTCATTTGAAGGGATTTTTCTAATTCTCCTCTATGAGTGGCTCTATTCTATTCCTGAAGGTTTTATGTCCTGGTCCCAAAAATAAAACTAAGTTGAGGGAAGGCATATCCCTAACCATTGCACTTCCATTATTTATTCTAAAAACATTTTACTTAGAATTATTCCAGGGCTGGACGACTTAACGTGATGGGAGCTCAAACCACATCATTTTAACAAATTTAACAAATTCCCCCCCACAGCCCACAACCCCTGTCTGCTGTGCTCCCCTTCAAAGGGCCGGTCCGCTGTCTTCAGCACTAAGGAAACCTCTCAAAGTCAACCAAGCTGCTTCTGACCAGATCTGAGGAAACTGGCAATCTCGGTCAATATTGATCTTCACAGGTATTTTTACCTTTGCTTTTTGTATGCCTGGAACTCAAATGAAACCCCAGCCTGAAAAGGCAGGGCTCAGCCTAGAGTGGCCTGGCCGCCCAACTGCACCTGTCACCCCTTACCTGTTTGCAAGACCACAGTTCTCTCTTCTCTGTCCAGAGACACAATCCTGAAGTTATAGATGGTTCCCGCTTGTAAATCCTTGAGGTAGCATCCATAGGTGGTGTTGTCTATTCGCGTGGGGTGGCACGATGCGACCCCTGGCATGTCACTGCTGTAGATGAGGCTGAAGTTACACGGTGACCCCAGAGTTCTCCACTGGAGAGACACGGCCCGGCTGGAGACCTTGGACTCTGTGAGGGTGACGTTACATCTCACTGGCTCCCCCAGTCCAGTCTGCAAAGGAACCGGAGGCAGGTGAAGCCCACAGTCTAGACTGCGCAGGGACTTGTCCCCAGCCAGGTCCCCAAGCCGCCTCCTCAGCCCTCAGCCCATCCCTTTGCTCTCCAGCCAGAGAAAAGGCCCGTGGGAAAGGTGGGTGGCAACTTTCTCCCCAGCTGCTCTTTCTCGGGAGCAGCTGGAGAAGGAAGGGGACTTCTGTGCCTTGGAGGTAGTATGAGCTGTCAGTCCGGCTAGGGGCTCAGAAGAGGACCGTTCTTCCCCAGGGAGAGGAAGCCATCCTGCCATCTCCCTCTGCAAAACACAACCCAGGCGACTGCACAGCGGACTGGGACTCCGGTCGTCGGCGGGGAGGGGGGCGCGTCCGCCCGCGACCCCCCTCGGGCCACTCACCTGTAGCAGGCTCAGCGCGGTCCACACGGCCAGCCCGACTCCATGGCTCAGCATCGCGCTCGGCGGTGACCACCCGGACTCGGCCGAGGGGCTGGGGGCGCGGCACGGGCCCCGACGGCCGGCGCGGGGGGGCGGGGGGCCACCTGTTGCGAGCGCTCAGCGCGCCCCGCGGGCGCAGCGCGCTTGCCTCCCGGCCGGCGACGCGCGGGGGCCGCCGCCGCTGCCGCTGCCGCTGCTGCCGCCCCGGGAGCGCTGCGGACGCGAGGGGCGGCGGGGGCACGCGGCGCGCCGCCCTTCCCACGCTGCCATGCTGACCCGCGCTGCCTCGCCCCGGCCCCGGCCGCGGACTTCCGCAATCAAAAGGCAATTTCCTCGTCTCCCGGCAAAGGAACAATGCGCCGGCGAGGGAGGGAGCCCCGAGGAGCCAACGCCCGAGGCTGCCGGCCCCCCCCCCACCCCCACCCCGAGGCGGGCCGCTGCCCTGCGCCGCCGCCGCCGTGGCCCGGGGGTCCCGTCCGGGCCCCTCGCGCTCTGCCTCCTCCTCCTCTCCCTCGACTTTCACTTTTTTCCCACACAGTGGTCCTCCTCCCTGCCGTCGGAGCCGCGATCCCTACTCGCTCCCTCTCACTTTCCAGCTCCCCCTCCGCCCCTTTCCTCCCCCCACAGCCAGCGCCTCCCCCTCCCTATCTTCCTTCCTATCTTCCTCATCTGCTTTCTCCAGGGC